ATTTACTCTGAATATAAAATGTGTTTTATTTTTTAACGTGTTCTCTTTAATTATAACATAAATAATTAATATAATAAATAATTTATATATTGAATGAGTTTAGTTAAATTAGTTTAGTCTATGTTTTTAAAGATGTGTAAGCTTCTTGTTCCAAAAGTGGAAATATTAGAAGAAAAATATTGGAGCGGATCTTGAGAAAATGTTGTTCTTTAAGGTGCATCAATTTCAAACACAAATTACTCCGGAGGTGAACTTCTATGCATTCTCTGCAAGGAGAAAAATCAGAGCAATGACATGCTAGGAAGTAACATACTTCATTTATCGCTACCTTTAGCAAAATCAGTGAGACCGAGAATGCTCAGGGCCATACAGATTAATTTGTGAAAAGAAAGCAGAACGCAAGACATTCTAACCCAGGTCACAGCTGAAAGGAAAGCGGACCTACAACTAATCAGATAACAATATGATTCATCTGACTCTTCAATAAGAGGACCCGGACTCTTCAGAGTGTAAGTAATAATGTTCGTAAAGAAGCTTACAAGCATTCAAGCGGACGAACTTCGGGTTCGTCAGGATAGAAGTCAATGATGTTAGAATTTACAGCTATTACGGGGCGACCATATTACTCGCGCAACTTTTCTTGAACGATGACCTTGATCCCCCTCCCTTTTGCAATAAACAGTTGAAGGCAAAAGCTCGCAGCGGGCACTGTTGACAACCTTCCAAGCATTAAAACTTTGTTGGCGCGAAACAGAAGCTAGTCAAAGCCAGCTGCTTTCATAGTGCAGAAACCCTGTTCAGATTTATTGTCAATATCGAAAGAAATGGCTGAGTCAGGTCCAGGTCCTTCAAGGGAGTCACTAAAACTCCCGAAAAAGTTAAGCACAAGATGCAGTTTTGACTTTCATTTCACAGACGTTGGCATTACTTAAAATGCTCTAGTGGCTGACTTTGTAACTAATACCCCCACTCCACCCGAAATCGTCAATCCATCGTTCAAGAAAAGTTGCCCGAGTAATAACAAGACATTCGAGAAGGACATTGATGAGCTTGAAACTAGCTTAATGTTAGCGAAAGGCGAAGTTCTTAAAGGGAGTAACTTCAGTAGAAAATCTCCAGAATGGAGGGAGACTAGGTCGAAGAAGAGAGGAGCCATTGTTGAGCGAGTTTGTCGCAAGAAACGACTTAGTTGCCCCAAACAACGGTGACCTTCCAACGTGGTAATGCTTTCTCTACTATGGATTTTATTATAGTCTCCTCAAAGCTGACCAGGAGTGTCAGGAATTGGGAAGTACTGGAATACGAGTCTCTTAGCGACCATCTATCTATACACAGGCTTTTTCGTTGCTTCAAATTTATATTAATCTAGATATAACAAAGACAGAGCATCCTGTAATGAAAATAGGTTAAAGGCTAAAGAGTTCCTGGAGGAATCTACGTTTATGAGTAGTTTAGGACTTTTATGTAAATACATACTTTTCCCCCTCTTAATCTTGAGCGTTGAATGTTTAGTGGAAATTCGAGAAGCGCCCCACAATTTCCGTACATCGAACTGCATATCGCCTACAAATAAATATTTTGCTTAAGTTGCATAAAAATTAATATTTTGAATATTAATTATTATTATTTATAATAATATTTATTATTATATTTTGAAAATTAATATATTGAAACAAATATTATTACACATTTAACTAAATTCCATATGAATAAATGAATATTTTGAGCACTTTCAAGTTTAATATATTCGACTTTTTGAATATAAGGGAAAAGACGGGCCAGTGGATGGTCACAACACATGTTCCTGTGGAACTTCACCCACTGAGTGGAGTGAGTCTGGTTCACGACCTATGAAAACCTCTGAGAGTCATTCTAACACTACTGTCGATTCAGGCAATGACATTCCATAATATACATTCATAATACGAACTGCTTCCCAACTTCCTCAGATACACAGACGAAAAGTGCAGAATGTTGAAGAGAGTGGCGTCACGTTTCTCTTGTTGACTTGTCACGATCTTGGACACTGGATTTAATATGGTTAATAAATATTTTCGTCGTTTTAATACATAGATTTCAGTTTTTAAGCACATAAGAAAATAAATACTCTTTCGGTTTTTTAGCACCTTAAAGTCCAAGTCCTACTTATGAGCATTGGCTGGACGAGAAGTGCGGAATCCCTTGAGGAAATAGCTTTGGAAACCAAAGATATAGTGGCAGCTGCGTGCGATGCCTCGATGCGCAGACGCAGAAGCCCTCGAAGCAAACTTAATGTCTATTGGTGGATGCCTGAAATGGTGGAGCTCTGCAAGAACTGCAACAAGAAGAGAAAACTAGCGACGAGAGCCAGGAGAAATCTCTCGCTCATAGGTCAGTTCAGGAGTTCTCGTAAACTACTCACCAGAGAGATTCAACGAAATAAAGCCAATGTTGGCAGAAGCTTGTAGAAGATATCGAAACGACCCCTGGGGCACGGTCTATTAAATCGTGACCAAGGAATTTAGGGCGGACTGTAGCACACTTAAACTAGACAACCCACCATGGTGAACCAAGAAATAAGCGGCCACTTCCCTACTAGGAATCACTGGGTAAGACAGAGAGACTTTTCTTTTGATGAAAAAATATTGCTTTAAGATGGAAGAACTACAGAGTACCGTGGCGAGCATGAAATGTGGGAAAGCACCGGCCTTAGATTTATTATTATTAAAGTTCGCTTTGAGCTAATGCTCGGTGGCAAACATGATAACAATTAAAATTAGAATTACTAAACATTTACAATTGGGTTTACTATTAGAATTAGGGGGTCGATATTATAGTTCCAATTTAAACGGAATCCCGAACTAGATATCAATATCGTTATAGAGTACCCCGAATGCTTGCTACCTGTGTTCTGTGGTGTACCCCAAGGTTCTAGGCATTGTCCATTTTTTATGGAATGTCATGTATGAGTTTGTTACATATAGAAATACCATAGACACCTAACTTAGCCTCTACGGTACGCAAACGATACTCTTATTCTACCGTAGTAATGATATCGACTTATTTGAGATGAAAGCGAACGAAACACTGTTTAGGGTGACAGGAATCTCTTGCACATGGCTGCGAAGAGAACTGAAGAGGTATTAGTGGAACTAGGGAGACTTCCGTTTTCCGAACATTTGACTGGGGGGCATGAACATCAACTGCAGGCAAGCAACTTATTTGGTAGTCGTGATCGACCACAGGCTCAGCTTTGGACCGCACATTAACAAGACTGCGGACAAGGCAGCAAACACAGGTTCCAATATCTCCAGGATAGTGCCAAATGAGGCAGGCCTGAGAGAAGTGAAGTGTAGAATGATCTCTTGTGCAGTTCATTCCCAAATGCGGTATGATCTCATTGTGGGCTGACAAACTCGGGAAAGCTTGCGTGCGACTGAAATACGCGCAAGAACAACGGAGGTTGGCGCTGAAATATAGTCAGCTTATCGAACGGTCTCTGACAGCACAGTGGAGAATAATAAAAGAGTCGGTTAAAGTTTAGTATACGGTACACGCTTAGAGAAGCTTTGCGGCGGGGCTTAAGCCCTAATTATTGTACGTGCTGTAATAGAAATCAGTAAAACTTACGAATAGGAGATGTTCATGGTTCGCCCTTCATATGATTTGTCCCCGCCGCATTGTAACGCCAATTTACTTTCAATTGCAAGTTTTCTCGCTTCGCTCGCCCGGATCCAAGTCACGGCGAGGCTCGGGCCTTCGGCCCTCGCGTTCAGTATCAACATCCTTGAGTCTATCCACCGCATAATTACCAATTTACTTTTCAAGAAAGCCTCCAAAAATCTGACTGCCTAGTTAACGCCGAAACGGCGCGAAGTGCCGGTTTAAACGACTTCCTTAGGTTGTACCGTATACTACATTTCAGCCAAAGAGTCTTCCCACCTTCAGCATGAAAAGAAAAGAAGAACGGCTCCGTACTTTGAAGCAACAGCCCAGCTACCTACCCGTCTCTACATGAAGTAATGTCTCAGGACAGTTCTCGCGGAGAGATGCATGGGCATAAGAAGAGAGGTTTTACTGAGTGGGAGTCTCATACACCGCGAGAATGATCCATCTTTATCCCTGACGGTGCAGAAGGCATTTTCCCCCTCGCAAAAAAAATTTAAAAAAAAATTATAACATCTTTTTTCTTTGCTATGGTGAAAGTATCATTAGGAATGAAACAAGACTTAATAAACGTGTTCCTATTTAGTAGTGATAAAAAAGAAACTTACGTTCTCTTAGAAATAAACGTGTTAAACTGAAGAAGAGTGGAAAACAAAACAACAACATATAAAAGTATGTGGCATTGGAATTAAAAGTAAGCCTAAAACATGTTTTGGTATTTCACATGTTTAGCGCAGATCCGCGGGGAGGGAAATGCAGGAAATCCCCGAGCCCCCTCCCCCAAAAAATCACTAACTATTAATTTTAACTTGTCACGAAACTTTCATTGAAGTGAATAAAATCGAATCGCAGCATGAGCTGAGTGTAGCCTGAAACATTTTAGAAAATCTGTAACATGATACATTCAACCAAAACATTAGTAATTTCCCCTCCCCAAATTTGTCTCATTGTAACAATAGTAACAACAAGAATTCAACATTTTTCAAATAGATAAACTTAAATGGAAAGGAATTGAAAGGAATACTACTTCACAAAAGGTAGACATAGTTTATCAGTTACCTGCAATTATTATTAACTTCAATTCAATGCTGTCAACATGCCATGAAATATAACTCTCTTATATTTTGCCAACACACTTGGAAGTAACATTAAATATAATAAAACAGAAATAAATCAACATTCTTGATAATCGAATTACCTTCAAGGCATTTGATTTTTAAATCCTCAACATTATTTGGGGGAACTTCATCCAATATTGGGTACCTAGTAATCAGCACTTAAGTAGTCATGTGGAAGTTGATAAGACCACCTGTGGCATACATTTACTAACAAGAGAAAGTGAACATGCATGACTACTTAAGAATTAGGAACGATGTAATATTCTTATTTTTCAATTTTCAATACATTTCATTTTTAGCATTAAGCACGACCTTAAGAATTCTAATACTTTGTGATATAACTCACACTGGTTTGGCCAACACTTCTGCAACTTATTAAGTGTATATTGTCATCTATTTTCAATTCATATTCACTGTACAATATTTGTAAATGGAATTATCCATATGTAACAATATCAAATTTTTAAAACACTTCAACAAACAACTATTTTACCAAAGGCAGAAGGTGTGGAATTCACTTCTAGTTTTGTTAATGAGAGAGGATGTTATACACAGAGCACCACAGCACTGAGCACCACAATAGTCTTTCTCTATGACTTCTAAATCAATTGGATGAAATTTTCACTTTATTTTAAACAATATTTAGGTGTGCACATGTAATACATATTCTGGAAGAATTTCAGGCACAATAGTGATTTCTCTTTGTGTCAAGATGTATTCCTGAAGAATAAAAATATGCTGACTGATTTTCTGAGTCCTTTTTGCCAAACCTATTTTTAGATATGCATTCTAGATTTGTAATACTGGTACCAAGAAAACGTGTCTGCACATGTCATTAAACATAAATAGGATAACAATTTAAGAAACTCATTTGATTACATGTGTCAAGAAATATTCTACTAACAAGCTCACCTTAGTAAATGATATTTCTGAGATATATTTATTTACCTTCATTTACTTATTTCATGATTCAACAACTTACTATAAACATGATAAAGATTATGTAAAATTTACAATTATCTAAATAGCAAACTTACTATTTTCCATTTTCAATGCAAATGCCTGCAAAGCATTTGTAGCTACATTTTGGCCCCAGCAGAGAAATCCGCAGTAGGCTATTTTATTTTAATATAAGATTCATTTGCTTATTATACTGCAACAATGAAGAGTAATAGAATACCCATCCCAGATTTAACTGTAGATATAAGATTCTGTCAATCTTAATATTGGTTTTTTGACCTTGTTTATTGTGGCTTTCTAAGATGGGTATTATGAATAAGAGCACCCAGAAGAGGGGGGGAGGGGGAGGCAGCAACAGGACCCAGACCCAGGCTTAACTGGGATCTAAAAATTATTTTTTGTTGGAGAAAAAATATATTTACTTCTAATTCAAATTAACCATTCTTGTAAGTTATTTCTGTTGCATGGATAAATGAATTCTGTTTACATAGAGAAGGGGGCAAATTTTTTTTGAAGTAATGGGCCCCCGTAGATCTACTACCCCAGGTCTCTAGTTCTCTCCAAGTACCTCTGATTATCAACTTGTCTATGAAGAAAGGAAGAGACAGAAAAAAAAGGAAAAGAAAGAAAGAAAACAACAACAACAAAACACCAATGAAGAAACAATTTTTCCAACTTTTCTAGATTGCAGCAAAATATTTGTATAAGTTGTAAATTAAAGTTCCATGCCAATTTTTTGTTCTGTAGCATACTATTTATTTTTAGTTTAATTTTCAAGTCCAATCACAGAGAATGCTCCATCTAATAGTATTTTGTTAGTTTAAAAAAAAAAGGTATATTATCTTTAAAAATTCAAATCTATAAACAAGGCAAAATGCTTGAGGTAGACCTAGTTCTTGACACAAATATTACTTAAATTATGTTTGAACAATACATAACAGATTAAAATTTCAACTGTGCTAAGAAAAAGCACTATACTTTCATTATATATCAAATACATGACAGATATGTCGTTGTCTATTTTTATAATCTAAACATTTAATCTATTAAGAGATGGGAGAGAAAATTACTAACACTTTACATCAATTGTAGTATTTTGTTAGTTCAACTATTTGTGGCAGTGTGTTATAAAATGAATATACCACGAGTAACATTTGGCTTATCAAACATAATTGTAGCTGTCTTGCAAGTATAGATCTTGTTACACAATTAAAAGAAAAATGAAACATTCAGCTTTCATTTAAAAATGCAAGTTCCCAATGAAATATTACATATTGTCATTATTAATATTATCATCCTAAGTAATGATCAGTGATGGGCTTTGCTTAAATCTGAATAAACGTTTCTATTGCTACTTAAAAATAATTCAAAACTTACGGAAATGTGCAAATTTTTTTTATTCTTATACTGTATGAAATCTCCAATCCACTTGTATTTTTGTTATAAATTTCATGAGAAATTTTAAGTAAGTCTCAATAGAAAGCTTTTGACAAATATATTTTCACTGTGAACATACAAAACAAAACGAAACAAAAAACAAAATCTGACAAATTTGGTCTCAGGAAATAATATTTCAGTACACAACAATTTTAATGTTAGCGAAGTTGTAATTATTCATAAACCATTAAAAATTAACTAAATGTTGAACATAAAATGAAGTTAGGGATCATCCATAAATTACGTAATGCTAAAGGTGAGTGTTAGTTCAAAGTTACATACACGGATATTTATCCTTTTAATTTTTCAATCTTTACAAAAATATAATTCCTTTTATTCACTTACATTAAAATATTTAAAAAATAAAATTAAAAAATATATACAAAATGAAATTCTGTTGTATTAACTGTTACAATGGAAATATTTTTTCATTAATGGTATACTATTGAATTAACTAATTAATTATTGAATTAAGAAAAATATTTGAAACTGCCCTGAAGTATATTCTACAATCTAAGTCAATAAGTAAAGAAGACAGGAACACCTAGAAGATTAATCTACTAGGTCTACTGAACCAGCACCAACCTAAACACCTGCAGTTCATGATGATGATGATATGATGATAATGAAGACTTTTGTGACTTGTGCATGCATCATCCAACAAGAAGGTACCTGTCTGGATCAATGGCAGAAATTTTTTTACCTATCTGTATCCTACCTTCCCACGGAAATTCTCCCCAATTCTTGTAGTTTGGTGCAATCAGTTTCACCAACTAATTCTGTTCAGTTGGTAATGTTTAGGTTTTATTTGGTAGGTATAATTGAATGTGCTTGAATTTTTTTATTATCATGTGTAATTGCACACAAATTGTAATTAAGAAACAAAGATAATTTGCCTTCACAAATGTTTGTTGTTTTGATGTGTATCATAAGCATCCCAACATTGTGCTTTTGCTGACGGAGCTTTTGAGAGAGTGACGACTAGAGCCCAAATCCTTGTTTATTTTTTCTATATTGAAATAAGTATTTCATCATTTTTTACAATAAAATTTTACGCTATTGCAGTATGAGAAAAATATTTTGATTCTTTTCACGGAAAGCGTTTTTTTTAAAGATGCGAACAAAAGATGAGATAGCTGATCATTGTAACCTCTGAAAATTCCATTGTAAACTGCACTTTTGGCATCTGCTGGACATGTGGTACTCTAGGAATCATGTTAATATTCATGGAATTGCGTTTTTCACAGTAAAACAGTTAGATGCTGCAATGATTTTCCTATCTCTTCTCTTTTCTTTGTTCACTCAGTATCAAAGAAAATGTATTGACTAGTCATGAAAGTAGTAGTTTGCTGGCAAAAAAAGAAAATACAAAAGTACTAGTTTTACGCACACAACGAATTTATATATATATAGATATATATGAAATGCTGAACTTCTTTAATTATTGTAAATTTTAATAAAAAATGAAATAAAGTTAATACAAATTATTTTTCTTTTCTACAATTTGATGTAAGCATAATGTAATTATTCGGAGAGGTCAAGCTTGCATTACTGGGGCATTACAGATGGGAGGGATATCCAAAATTCTCCAAATCACGTAATTAATGGGCAACCCCTCAAAACAATTTTATTTCAGGATTTTCCTGTCTTTTTATGTGACCTTGAGAACACCATTATTTCTCAAGCACATTCCCATAAAAAAAAGACACTTAAGAAAGTAAATATACATGGTCTTTGCTTCTTGCCAATGTATATAAGATACATCAAGTTTTAATGTCAGTTCATTAACTTCATCTTTACGTTTACAGAACTGGATATAACAGCACTTTAAACTAAACCCATCACCTTTCAAATAATCACATGCACACATGAAAGTACAACATCCAAACAATATATTAATAGTTAAATATCAATATTTCATTTAAAAAATGTTTACACATACATCCACTCCTAACAATCTTTGTTTGTAAAAAAAGTATTGATCTCAAATCGAGTACATATGCATTACACATACTTCAAAATTAACATAAAGCTAGCAGATAATACAATATACACATTAACAACATAACAACATGTCTCTATTCTAAGTGACTTTACCATATTTTTCATTGGCATTATTTTTCCTTGACTTGTACATATAAAAGAAGTGCCTGCTTTTGCAGTGATTCATTTTACCAATTTCTAATGAAATACTGAACAATCACTGAAGTCTGATACTTTTTATAGATTGGCATCAAGACTCCTTTCTACAATAAAATTCTAGTAAAAGTTGGAGGCCTCTGTCTTAGAAGAAACACAATTGTAAGGTATATTGTTTCTTTCTTTGTGAAATAGCAAGCAGATTGAAGAAAAATATTACTGGCAATCAGACTGTTCACTGAATATGTCTGAGAAATGAGATAATACTGATGATATTAAGCATTTATATTCCACTCTGCACATGAATATATTAAATTTAAGAATAGTTTTTTCAAGAATCATATTTCTCAATTGCTAATGACAATTTATTAGTCTTCAAAAAGCAAATAATTTTTACTTTGTATCCGAAAAAACTCTCGTACTGATATGTTATCATTTTTGAAAAGAGAAAAGGAAAAAACTCGTTCTGATACACAGTTGTTTTAAAGCATTATGCCAAAAAAAGGATATTTTGTCAAGTTTTTAGACATTGAAATTAAGGAAGAAAAAGTCCCATTAGTATTAGAAGTGACAATTGTTGTCCATATTGATAATTACTGCACACAAATTTAATACAATTCCAATTATTCAAATCATAAAAATTACTAAGAATTCCAGTATGAACAATTTCAAAAGTTGCATTTAACCTCTTAAAATGTGACCAGTAATTCTTTATTCATTTTGCATATTGTGTATTTTTCCCAATATTTTTCATCACTTTGTTGTTTAACTGTCATTAGCATGAAGATATTTTATTTTACCACAGATCAATAGCAAAGCTTTGATGTGCACTTTCCATTATATTTTCTCCTGACGTGAAAACTATTTCTAGATAGAAGGCTCAAGAGTACATTAGCTGAAACATTTTGATGAAATTTTCCTCTAAAAATAAGAATCTATCCTCCAACAATTAAACAAAACATAAAAACTTTTGAAAATAAAATTACTTGTGAATAAATGAAAATAGTTTAGTCGTAGGTCTCAGATTCTTGTTGCACAAGTTTAAATCTACGTGGACTTTTGACACACATTGAACCACCTGGACCATCTAATGATAATCGCCCTTTCATGCTCAAATAACGCTTGATATAACGAGAAACAAGTATTTGAGGTCTTGATTGCCACTCATCCAATACTTCTTTAGGGGCTAATACCTGAAACAAAGGAAATTGTGTATTTGAAGTTATTTTAATATGTAGTTTCAGAGATAAATGGAATATATTTTGAACAAGGAAATAGGGCAGAAGAATAGACCAAGGAATGGAAGGAAAGTGAGAAGTAAGAGGAAATATTTTAGAGGTAGCAGATTTACAACCCTTATAAACAAATGTTCCAACATGTGCTTAATCTGTAATTTGTGTATTTTAGTTCTTACCTGATCATTTTTAAGTCTATCCAAAAGGGTAACACAAACAACAGCTGCTTTTATTCCTGCATGATGTGTCAGAGCTGCAAATGATAATGATTCCATTTCGATGTTTACAACGCCTGCCTTATGAATCTGGGTCATATAATGCATTTTATCAGCCTCTGTATAATCACAGAAGGCTCCATCCAGTCGACCTTGACCTGAGAAATTAAATGAAAGAAAGATTATACAATCTACAATAGAAACAAATAAGCAAAACAAAACAACAACAACAACAACAACAACACAATCTTTTAACAATTTAATTAATCAACTTAATTCATTTTTAAAATATCTTTTACCTTCATAAAAGTCATATGTACACATGGTTCTGCCTGTTACTGTATCATAAGGATCTTCAGCACTAGCAAGACTTTTTAATTCACGAGCTAATTTCTTATCAAGTTTGGCGGGTCGCTGAAGAAGTTTACCCAGTACAGGCTTCAAAGGAAAAACAGAAAAGAAAGGCATCTTAAACTGGTTTCAAGCTTTATTGTACCTGAAAGACAAACCACTAAGTCTATAGGTTTACCAGTTCCAATGTAGGCCTCAGCAAGCCATCAACAGCATCTTCTGAGATGACAACTGTTCCACCTTCAATTCCAATCCCTCCACAAGTCCCAATGCGGAAAAAAATTGGATCACGAACTCTGGCATGGTACATTAATTTTATGACTTCATGAAGAAGGATACCAACAGAAGGAATGCCCATTCCATGCTGAAAAAAGAAAAAAATAATTATTTTATATGAAAACGATGCAAATACATAATCCCATACCAAGTTTATGCACAATGTAAACATTTTTTTCTTTACCTACATCATTATTATTCATTTTACTACAATATCTTTCAAAGAAAAATTATCTTGCACTAATCAGACTAATGATAGGCATAATGAATACTTCACACAAGCATCAGTCTAAGCATTTAAATTCTTACAAGTTTCTTGTTAATAAATATGTATTTTGTAACAGAATTTTTGTATTTTAACACAATACAGCAAGGCAAATGACAATACAATTAAATTATTCAATGGAAATCATCAATTGTATAAAAATTAATGATATTACTCTCCCATTTTTTGTCAATTTTTAAAATTGTTGATTGCATGTTATATTAATTTCTTCGTTGTTGAAGGAGGAAAGTGGTTCAACAAATATTTCAAGAAATGAATATTATACAGAAGCACATGTGTAACACCACCATACACCACTATGGTAAGTCCTACTCTCTTAAGTACTATGATGTTTTTGAATGAAGCATGAACATTCAATGGGGGGGAGGAGGACAACCTTGGAAATGTAATTTCATACCTCCAGGAAGGTTATATTTCCTTGCAAAGGAAAACCTGAAAGACATTGCTGTGAAAATCTTTTCTAGATGAGAACTTAAAGGCAGGGAGGATCAAGTGAAACAGAAAAGTCAGAAAAATATTAAAATTATATCAAGTAAAAAACCATGAAATCAAAGCAATTGTGCATGTAGAGATGAAATTTAATACAGTCATGAAAAATAATTAAAATTAATACACAAGCTACAATATACAAAATGTTTTCTTACACTGATTGCCAGCACTGGTCCCACTTTGTACATGGAATAACGATATGAGTACCGGCTTATATCAAGTAAGGTGGTCCCTGCAGGTAATTTATGGCCAATTTCGTCCATAATAGAGAAGGCAAATTGCTCCATGCGCTTCGGAGTTCCTCCCAGACATACAAACTAAAAAAGAACATTTTAAGTATTTGATTAATAATCATAATTACTATTGTACTAACTGAAACAAAAGAAGTGTAAACATTGTCAATGACACATTCTCCAGCACTTTTTATAAAGAGAGATATTAAAAATTGATGCTTCAGGTAAATCCACAGCCATTTCATGAAGAGGAGTTTCACAAACATTTTCTTAGTTTTTGCTTAGAAATCTCTTCCTTTAAAGTAATGATTTTGTTTCCAGTTATAAAAACATAAAAAATAATTACTGTATCAGCTAAAATTAGATAATCAAAAGTAGAACTAAAAGGAATAATTAATAAAAGTAGAATTTTTCTCACCTTTACATCTCCAAACATGCTCACTAAGTCATGAGATTCACTCCCCAAGGCCAAATGGTACAAAATATCTTGATCCATAAGTTGGATGTGAGGATTTCGCAGGCGTACTGAGCCATCAGGATACCTGGAACATTTTTTAATAAAGCAAAAATTATTACTGTACTTTTACTTGTCCACTGAAGATCAATAAAAATTGCATCATTTATTGCAAATGAAGTTTTTATTTTATTCTTTTATAATTTTATGAAAAATATCAATTTATGCTTATTTTAATCTTTATTGTAGTAATATATTGCATTTAATTTAATGTCCCACAGAATCAATGGCATATCCAAAGAGAGGCCAAGGGGGCCATGATGTCCATACTTCATACCTTCATATCCCCTCCCCCAGGCCAACATTGTTTGGAATTTTATGTAACTTATTCAAAATAACTACCATATACATCATCATATCCAAAGGTATTCCCATCTTCAATATACTCAGACATTTTTTTATTTCATACTAAAAATAAAAATACAAAAAGCTTTTTAAAAGTATTTTCTGGGGGTGGTGGTGTCTGAATAAAATGAATGAATGAATGATGAATTGTGAGAAGGAGGGAGACAATGGGATAAGGGGGAAAAATGAGGGAGAAAAACAGCTTGGATGAACTGCAATAAATAAACATGTTAAGGAATATACAATATGGCATTAGAGAACAAATTACGAGGAAATAAAGATGTAAGTTATTCAAGAAAATCTGGTCTCTGCAATGGAATTACCTGGAAAAGGTTGATATGAGTTTATGTAGTAATAAATGAATATTGTTATGATGAAACCTGGGAGGGGCAGAAAGATTATGAAAGAGAAGGCAGCACAAACCTACAGAATTGAAGATGGTAATGCTGTACTATTTTACAACAGTCTCACGAATAGGAAGGGGAAACATACTTCAAGTGTAAAAAGAAATAGTATTTCCACTCAGGATTGTGGTATTACTTGAATCTTCTCAATGAAGTTTCTTTGGCACGAGAGTAAAGATGTAGTTCTTTACAGGTTTCTAAGATAATTAATTAATGCTAAAACGAATGTGTGATGTATTTTAATTATTTGGTGAATTTTACAAGAACGACCAGGTTTTGCAATTGGTGTCAAGTCCGAGTGGGTAATCGACCCCATTCCCCCCCTCCATCTCCCACCACTAATGTATATGAAAGGAAAAATACAAAATATCTTTTTTCAAATTGTCATGACTATAATTAAATTGTAAACACATTTATTTTATGTAACTTCAGCAGTTCATTTTTGCAAAAAAAAACAGCGTTACGCTTTACATTTTTTAAATATAAACTCATTTAACATTTTTTTCAAATCGATTTTGTGGGTAATGTTGCTATACATATGTATAATTCGCATACTGTTCGCAATACTGTTGAGTCGATCTTGAAACATAGTTGATTGCATATATGTTTTGAGTTGACGCAATAACGAGAAGCTACGGGCACAACGTACGTTTCCAAGAGCGCTCGTATGCAGTTTCGCATAAAGTACACGGTTAATCTACGACGCCCATTAAGTAACTCGTGTAAAAAACAACAACAACAACAACAAAAAAAAAAACAAGTGTTTCCACTCAGGGTTTTGATATTACTTGAATCTTCTCAATGAAGTTTCTTTGGCACTAAAGTAAAGTAAAGATGTAGTTGTTTGCAGGTTGAGAAGATAATTAATTAATAATGAAACAAATATGTGATCTATTTTAATTAGGCGGCGTAGGGCGGCGTGGTAGGCGTCGATGTAGCTTACATCAGCTTTAGTTGACGCGCGTCAACACTTTTGCTCGTGTGACACAGGCCTAAGAAAAAAAAAAGATTTTACAAACACCCGTACTTTTCAATTACATGTCTGTTCTTTTTAAATACTCGCATGAAAATTTAATTTGGCGCGCTATTTATTTCACGAGTCGTTAAAACTACCCCTGATGTTTCAGCATATTTAAAGAAACAAAAACAGAAATCTGCACGGAATTTTGCGCAGAAGTCTATCTCAACATTGAAGAGCGTCAAAATATTAAACTTTAACAGCAGCTACGTTCAGTACCTGCTGTGGATACTGGTAGTGTGAAAATCTCAAAGGAATGAAAACGCAAGATACATTACCTTGTCGGTACAAATTTACCACGAAAGTAATTTTATTATAAAATATTTTGCATTGTCGAAGGGCCAGATTTGCAACCTTCGACAATGTTCGCGTGAAAAGGGTTCTCGACACTTCTCCCTTATCGTACAGAACGAAAAGAAAGCGACTTATACGAGATGACGAACGACAATGCGAGAAGAATGGCGTCGCATGTATAACTTCGAACTTTTAAAGCGAATTGACGTTCCGCTTTGGGTGCCCAAATTCATGTCGAAGGTTCTAGTCTTAGGCCTACGTGATTAACATAAAACGTCCTAGAGCCAGTCCAATGCATAATTTCAACACAGGTAATAACAAAACTTTTTCATTAATAAAAATATGCAATTCTCTTTTGAAGTGTGAAATAGAATGTTCTCGTTCCCACAACTCGCGACGTCTGATTCAATTGGGTACGCTAAGGGATCATACTATCCTTTTGTGTCCCCCGTATACACTAGAAATACTTTAATTCATACTAGGTTTTGTCTTTGGCCGTCTCGAAAACAATGCGGAAAGTACTACTTTATCACACTGAAATTACTTTCCGCACAATAACAATGATATGAACATAAATAAATTAATAATGAAATAAACTGTATAGTATACAGTAAGTACAGAAACACTTTATACACTTTATAGATAACAATAAGGCAAATATTCAGAGGTTTCTGTATTCTCCCTAAAAATTCAGCGGCACTGTTGATGAAATCCTGTTCATTATTCCAGAATATACAAAATGGAATAGAGTATGAAATAAAACCTTTTACGACATACAGTGTTACACTATTCGATTTAAAATTCCAGCCTTGGCTCCGAACGTCGCCTCGGCTGGAAACATCACAATCATAATGTAACACTTCCCGTCCTGGTATCGTAAATTACTATTATACTGGCAAGCTCCTTTGACGTGTTGGTCTCTACATCTGCATGGTCTAGAAGTAGTCTTTGGCTGTTGATATAGTGCAATTCAAAGCCATGAACTATAGTCCTTTGTTATTTTCTGAAGAGTACATCTTTGTTACAATTATGCACAATAATTTCATTGTAGTTGATCACAACACTGTTAGTTCAGAGAATTTTGGCCGATTTATTTTCCACATGCGGTAGTTTTAGTAAAATTACTTCAGAAGGAATTTTATTTCATTGTAAGTTCTAGCATAATTAAAATATTTTGTGAAATTTTGGGTGTTATTTTCTACACTGCAGTGCTAGATGAGTATTACTCATGTAAAATTGTTTATTGCACTCTAAAGAGGCAATGTGCTGCAACGATGGAATTCCCTCTGCTTTCTTTCAGCCGAAAGAGCAGGTGGCGAATTTCCCTAGATAGATAGTTTTATGTTTGTGTGTGTGTGTGTGTGGGGGGGGGTGGCGGCTGCTATCATTGGTCCCCTTAGTGTAGTATATGTATGATACTTCCCAGGAGGTTGCTTGCGGGGTACCTCCGCCAATCTTTAAGCTCCCGACTGGTCTACCGACGTGTGGTAGTGTGATACATCTAAGTGTGTTTGAGTGCGTGTGTCTAATGAGAGACTAGAATGAGAAAAGGCGGATTGCGCGGCGTCTGTAGCCCGTTTATTAGGGTACTGTTCCGGCATTCGCCTGGTGTTGATCGGAGAAACCACAGAAATCCATACCGACCAGAGCAGCCGATCGCTAGAATTTTTCTCCAAACTACGTCCGAATCTAACCTAGCTGTGTTGGCTAGTGTCGAAAATCCGCCACCATCGGAAATCGATTCCTAGGACCTCCCGGACAGAAACACTCCTTGCAGGGCCTCTGACCGGGAGGTCCTATATTCGAGTCCCGACGGTGACAGGATTGTCTTCCTCGTCCTATCCTCTTCCCTTACTTGCACTCACACTACCATGCACCAGACTACTTCACATGCCGGGATTCCGATCGAGAGCTAAGAGCTTGTCCCAGCTGTGCCGGTGAGAGATACCTGCTTGGGGATAACCCCGCAAGCCGGCGTTAGGTCGGCGCCGGATCTCGCCATCCAACATGGGAAGCCACCGCCACCTCCCGAGGCAAACATGCACCACACTTACGGAACCAACGACCTTATTAGTTGACAGGCCTGGAATCACTAACCATCAACCAATGGTCAAGACAGTGGTGCAGTGGAATCAATTGTTGCCTCGCGCCGTCTCAGCGTGCATTTCCCCTCGAGCAACGTTCCCCGTCGACCGCACGGCCAGTGCAGGCCCAATGGCCAGCGTCCCCCATGCAGCGGGGGGAAGGCCCCCGATCGGTGGCGGCGGGGGCGGGGCTGGGCGCTGCTCGCGACCCGTCGCCCAATTACCTCGTCAGCGAGGGCGCTTCCTCCTTGTCTTGCTTCTGCTCGCACTGCGGGCGGTCGCAGCCGTTCTGCTGCTGCTGCTGCTGCTGCTGCTGCTGCTGGCAGCTGCCCGCCGACGCCGCGCGCGGCTCCTGGTGGTCCACCGCGGAGGACGCGGCGTCCACGCTGCGCCAAGGGCGACGCCCGTTCCCTCAACCTCCGTCGCTTTCCCTTCCCCGGACTCCCCGCGCTTTTAAGATCACTTCTCTAGTGGAAACGGGGGCTTCAAAATTTATTCTTATTCTGCGATATATACAATCCTACCCGCGGCAGGTATCAGCTATTGGCTTCATCCAATCGGAAGCATGAACGTCACCCTAGCGACGTCACCCTAGCGACGTCACCCTAGCGACGTCACCCTAGCGACGTCACCCTAGCGACGTCACCCTAGCGACGTCACCATAGCGACGTCACCATAGCGACGTCACCATAGCGACGTCACCATAGCGACGTTCAATCTCCCGATTGGATGAAACCGTCAACAGCTGATACCGGCCAGGGGCGGAGTTGAATAAATCGCAGTATATTGTTAGGGCCTGTTTCACCATCTGTTGTGTTAAACGTCGTTTATCTTCAAGTTAATCTCGGGTAAGTTGTTCGGAAGTTTCACCACGTATTTAAATTGCAGGTTAAACTCCGGAGTTAAACGCCGCTTCGAAGATGATTGCGTTTGACTGCTTTGCGTTTCGATACTTGTGGTCTCGTTTTATAATGATGAAATGATCAGAAACACTAAACGGCACACGTCGAAAATTCTGCTGCTCCTATACACTGTTCACTCCCACCCAACTGAAATTGTAAGAAGGCTACGGTAAATTATTCAGAGAACCTATTATTTGCATGAATATGATGAAGTCTACTTTGTTGAGTATTTATGTTTGTTAGGAGATTAAGCATTTGACTCTTTTGCAATTTCAGTTTTTTTCTTGAAAAGAATACATGTATATACAAAGAATATTTTACTACTATAGTTCGCAGAAAACGGTTATGAAAAATATTTTTTTATTTACCTGTCAGATATGTAAGCGTAAAAAAGTTACTCTTTATTCTAAATATTCACATTCAAGAGTTTTTTAAAACGTATTTTCATAAACGCTCTAATATCATTTTAGGTGAATTATTTAATGAAATCAGTTATTAGTTGACTTAATTGCGGTATATGATTGTGTGCAGCAAAACAACATCTCACAGTGAAGTTGCTGCCGCTGCTTAGAATGGATGATTGAAAAGAGAGTACCTCACTGTACCGCGAAAAGTAGCCACCAATTTGGCAAGACAACAGTTTTAAAAACGGATTTGTAAGCAGATGCACGCACTACAATATAATTGCGATTATATTGTAGGTTTAAATTTAATCGGGATTATTTAAATATGATCAAGAAAAATTCAACAAAATGTGGTGAAATCGGCCCTTAGAAGAAAAAATCCAATTACGAATAAACCAGAGAATATTCTAGTTGAAGGGGACAAAAAAAAACAACATTTGAGCAGATCAGTACACTACTCCAAAAGAGAAGAGATCTGAAGTCAGCTATTTTTAAGTTCTCTCTAATTTTTTTAAAGATTTCCAAGATCGGACAGTTTCACAGATTTTTTCGAAAGATTCAGTATCAATTTGGGTGCACTGGCATGTTTACTTTTCAGTCTGGCAAAGCTGGGTCAATGACCCCCATCTCGATCAGGTTTTCGTCCAGTTTCCCTGATCCTTGATCAACTGCTGAGATGGTCCCTTGTTTTGCCTCTCGACATAAATGTAACTTCAATTTAACTTCTTTCCATAGCACGTCATGCACAGTTTTTAACTGTTTCTGACGTAAATAAATATAATAAATAAATAAAAATAAATAAATATCTAGCATAAAATACTTTATCGAAATATATTTCAATCTTGCATTTCCTCCACATTTCCATTTTGAAAATTTAACTTGATAATATTGTCAGAGACTCATTTTTTGAAATAAAGAGGGGATAAGTTATGATTAGGGGGCGGGTTTTAATTAAATGTATTTTTTTGTTTTCACTTTAGAGCAATGCCGTTTAGTTGTGAAATTTATTTTATGTTATGACAAAACGAAATGACACATTTTTATATGTTATGCGAAGCTTGAACAAAAGGAAGCATACTGTTACATCAGTAACATACCCAACAGGTTGAGTTGTTCATCTGAAGTGGTTTTGATAGAAGTCTTTACGTAATTTTTCTTTATTTTAGAGCATTTTCTGGATCATTTTGGCAATGTTTTAGGTCATCAAAATCCGCTCCCTAGTAATGATCATTCCAGTTATGTGAAATCTATAGGGTAGAGTATTAAACATTTATTTACTTAACTCTCCTCTGGTTGCATTTTTCTTTGATTGGGGACAAAATAGAATCAACAATAATAATGTTTCTGTAACACTAATTTAGAAGGTATGAAGTACTGTTAACGAATTATAGGTGACGTAGCGGCCCAAAACTGAGGTTTTAGGCAGTACAAGAGATTTTCGCATATGAAAGGTTAAAAAGATTTATTCCTTATGAGAACATTCTCTATCTCGAATGCAGTTCGGATGAGCAAATAATCGGTCTTGTGAAATCGATAAGTGGGCTCCTTCTGGTTGATACGTGAAGGAAAATAAGCCAAATAATATATCTAGTGTCAGAAGACATAAATTTTGCGGACTATCGAATTAGACAATTTAGCGTAACTCGATTGGGCAATTATTTCCTAAGTTGTCAGGGAGAAACGAAAACAATCAAACAAACGATTGCAAGACAAATAAATACCATACTTGATAATTTGGAAGTAATAAAAGACGCAACATGATTTATAAATGAACTAATACTATTTTGGCAAGCTAGAATTCTTATTTCAAACAAGTTGCAAAGTAATTAAAATTATCACATTTTACTATCTTCGTCACGATCTACAGTAGACTTTGGGATCTTACGGTCGCTTGGCAAGCAAGACTCGACCTTATAATGGTAGACAGGAATGAAATTTAACAGTTTTCATCTTTCCAAGATTTAACTTTCGTTAATTTTAGAATACCTTTCCTGTCCAAACCATTAGCTAATTCCACCTCTAATCCTGTGCATTAAATATGATAAAATATTTTTAAAACATCCTTTAGCTTGTTACAAAATTTTCAATTTGGTTTACATAAAAATATCTATAAAATGAACATTATATGAATGTTATTTCTACAAAAATTCGGATCATGCGTGCATAAAAAAACGTTTAGGATTGGAAAAAGTTTGCCTTCGCTGGAGCTTCTGGATACTTTGTTCGGCCCTTGAACTCGAGACCGCAATTTGTCTCACAGCCAGGACATACCAGACATGCTTTCTTCTAGAGAAGAACTTGCTACGCGTTTCGTAGACGGGTTAGGAAAGGTAGAAGTTAAAATAACATTCAGATTCTTCTACCTTGAGCTCCATTTCATTCTTTGACGGGAGCTTAGCTATTACAGATCTCTACTACAGCAAAAACATTCTATTATTTTCTATTGAAACGGGAATCCGTATTATGATAAGGGTATTTTTCACTTTATTATATATTAAGAAATAATGCATAAAGTAATGCGAACGAAAATTACGAGGAGTCCCGACTACCTCTAGAAAATGGAAAAATGAGGGGTTTAAGAAATGTCTTAAGTATTTTCTTCGCGCTCTTAAAGCGAATTCTCACAAGTGTGAATGCACTCATGATACTTAGAGATGGCAGATTTGAGCAAATTGCTAAAAATGCGAAATGTTACAAAGAACCGAGAAAATTAGTAATTTATGTTTGACGGTCGGTACAGAATATTTCTACGGTTTTCAATCTGCGATAAAATTGTTCGTAAATTGCGAAATCACGTAGAAAGTGCGAAATTGTAGTGACAATGCGATATACTTGCAAAATTGCCTTTTATGCTTTCCTTCGTGTTCGTTCTCTAACTAGGGATACGACATCGCCAACCGATCGATGTTTAAGAACATTTAATTAGACTGTGGCTAATAGTGATGAAGCTGAACTATTATTCAGTCAATATAGTTGAATTGTTACTGACAGAAGAAACAGGTTAAAGGAAGAAATACGTTCTCAGCTTATTTTCCACTTCTTGTGATACAGATTGACAATACATTTTTACACAAGTAGATTTCATTTAACAATATACATGACCTTTTAATTTAAAGTTGTATCGTTTCAACAAATATTTAGAAACTGCAAGACAATACTTTTGTTCTCCTTTGAATAAAGTTCAGAAGCCTGTTCTTTACAAGGCAGGAATCATTCTATGGATTTAAAATTACTGCTTTAAATATTTGTTGAAGTCCACAAATGATGAAATATTAAATTAGTTCCCCTATTTCCTGATTTCATTATAATTCCATCAAAATACTTTTTCTCTCGAAGAAATCACCCTTAATAACCAAATTCTTAGCAAATGCTACAAAATGCTAAATGTTAATCTTTATAGCGCTATAAATTGCAGTAGACTTGTTTTCAAAATGTGATAAAAATTTAAAGTGCTACATTCTACCATCACACATCATCAATGATTTGTTAAAACCCTATAGTCCACTTCAGACTTTGACCTGACATCTGCGCGCTGGCGGAACCGCCAGAGTTTCTAGATCGAGAGGAAGGAGTCATCAGTCCATCGCCCGCCTCTAGGAATAGAAGTGGGAGTTGGAAGAGGAAAGGAAGAAATTGCTCGCTGTCACAGAAACAATCGTTCAGGGCAGCCAACCTCTCGAATTCTCATCCAGACAGAGGTTGATCGATCCATCTATCTAGCTGGTGTCAAAAATGCTCCCAACGTCGGGACTCAAACCAAATTCTCTATAGACAATATAGGACACTTTGGATCTCTCGCATACTATTAAAGGGTGACAATTCTCACTACCGAACCTGGCGACGAATGCAGTTCTGCGCAAATCTGCGACAAATTCAAATTTCAGTACGTGAACAGAACCTTTTGGAGTTTTGTGGTTTCTAATACATCTATTATTTACATTACTATTACTATCATTATTTTTCTTTTTGTTTTATATTTATATGTATATAATTTTATATTTTTGGAGTAGAAAAGTAAATACACAATATCACAAGCAATACAAAACAGTGATTTGGTATTTTAATATCTGAATTTAATTGGAAAATGATAATTATTTGCATAATAAAAAAGTTACAACCCGAAGTTTGTAAGGGATCATACGCATCGTGACTTACATTATAATAGAGCAAGAGTATTCTTCCTTGTTCTCATCAGGAAATCGAAAAAAGAACAATTCTTCCATAATTCATAACTTGTGTAATGAAACACAGCTTACACCAAGTCTCTGCCATTTAAAAAAATTACTGACGGCCAAAGGAAACTATTTTAATCCCTCTGCGAAATGTAAATAAACTAGAAAAAATATTTCAAACTTATACACACATATATATTTCGCACTTGATATCACAATGGTTATGCACACAGGTTGGGCATCTTTGGCGGTAGCTTCAAATGTCGCCTATTGTATCGTTGAGTGTCATGTATTGTCTCTATAGTATTTGCTCAAATAGAAGACTTGCCGATCTGCGAATATTCAATTGCGGACTCCTAACTATTCATGATATTCAAAATTGCATTTTAATCAGAGAATTTTTGTAAAACATAGACATGCCCTTTATCTTGATGTCCCACATAATTATTGAGCACGAATATTCGAATCGGTAAAATCAGCGTGAAACCGACATGTTGTCGACTGTATGGCTGTTTATCCGCAGAAAACTGTTGACGAAGATAAGTTTAATCGTATCTCCAATGGTTGCCAAGACAACACTTATGACCGACTACATCGCCCCTGACCTTATTTATTTTATTAGTACTATTATATTAAAATATTTTCGGTGAAAATTGTAAACAAGTACACAAAAAGTTTAAAAGTCAATTTCATTTTTCATATATTTTCCAAATATTTACGGAAAGTAAATATTAGTTTATCCATTCCACAATAACTGTCATATTTGAATTAATTAATATTATATTTAAATTAACAAATATTCTATTAATGTATACAAAATGTGTTAAAACAATTATAACATAACATTGTAATATCACTACATACATTTTGTCATCACTATATTTATTTTATCTTTCGATGCGTTTTTCATAAAATAAATTCATAAACAGGTGTTTTGTGCAGTGTCACTTCAAATACTGATCTTCCTATATCCCCACACCATAATACTTTCCCAAACAATATCCATTCTCCTTCCAAACTTTGATGTATGTTCTGAGGCTCTAAAATTAATGACCTATCCCCTCCAGTAGCGAATCTAGTTTCTATGGATGCACACGTTTTAAAAAGAAATCTGTCATTCATTTAAGAGAAAGCAACGTCTGATGGAACAACTGAAAATTATTAAATGAGCGCTACCTTTCAGAGTAAGGATTTGCTTGGATAAATGGCTAATCTATTTTGGTTGTTGGTACGTGAGGTTATCTGAGGTCTCACAGGGCAACGAAACTCCAGTTACAGGATAAGAGGCGCGTGCCACAGCGAGGCTCCACAGTGGGCGGGATGGGTAGAAGGTCAAAATGCTTGCGAGTGAAACGTAATGTTTCAAATCAACGCGTGCTGACTTCACTTGCTTACAAGAGAAACAGAACAGAAACAAACATTACGGTGTGTCACAATTTTACCATTAACACAATCTGAATGTAAGTTAAGTAGTTTTTAGAATGAGATCGTCCTTATTTTGAACAGGAATACCTAATGACGTAAAGTAAATGGCCTTATTGAATGCTGAGGTATTTTAGTTCTCGTACATAATGTCGCCAAATAATGAATATTCAATTTTGTTTCTAGTCCTCATAACTTCGAAAAGTTTCTTCTCATATGTCCGAAACGTTCCGAAAGCCTTCCTCTAGCTCAGTACAGAAGGATACAAACATTGTTTTTAAAGGTAGCAAAAGTGTTATTCCCATAGCATAAATAAATTTGATTTATTATTTCTTTGTTTATGATTGTTTTTCTAGATGCAAAACAATATTAACTTGGTAAAACGGCAGAACAATTTGCAATTTTTTATTGAGTAGACAACTCTTCAATCTCATAGCAAAGTTTCCTTTTATACTGAATAGTTTTGAGTGATTTGGGATTACTAAAATACTTAATATTTATGAATCTATTTAAGGGATGTTTCTCCTGCACGTTTTGTCATGATCCTGTGCAATTCAACGATTTAAAAATAGAACTGAACAAATATTACCACATTAAACAAAAAATCCATGTAGATACTTCAAATTTTAAAGCCCAGAAACTCATGTTTCCCTCGTATGGCTGGGGGTCCTTCAGACTGCTCATAATAATAAAAAAAATCACTCAAATGTTTAAGAAATATTCTGATAAAAACAAAATCTATGAAAGCATGTGCCAAATTTTTGTATGAAACTGGAATGAATTTTATTCCTCACTCAAATATTAGCTTCAAACCCGCCTCTTTAGAGTATTACCTATTTTTCACATCAATTTCGTCTACATTATAAAACATTAATGACAGCTTGACAAGAACGGTATGACTTTTTAATGGCAGACAGGAATTAATTTAACTATTTTCGTCTTCTCTATTTTCGAGACTTAACTTTCGTGAATTTTAGAATTCCTTTCCAAAATACTGAAATTAGTTTGCTAAAGTGGTTTATATTTTTAAAATTATTTGTATTAAACATTTTTTATAATAAAGAAATAGGAACTCTGATTTAATTCTTTATTTGGATGACTTTCAATTTTAAAGTATTTATCATTCATGTTATTTATTTGCAAATTCTGCAAATAATCTTCCAACCAATGTAATAAACTTATTTTGTCCCCCATGAAGAGAAATACGACAACCAGAGAAAGGGGCGTGTTCACACAATTTGCAGTCGTGCATAACTCTGCGCTTTCCAAGGTCCAGAGTGACTGGGCGCCTGACTGGGAGGTCACGTGACGACGTCCACCAACGATGTTTGTAAACATGCCAGCGCACCGGGTAGCGAAAGTCGTTTCGCCTTTGCATTTGCCCACACCCTCCCTGCCCTCCACCCCCCACACCAACTCCGTCCCTCGGGAGCGGCGTGCTCAGCGCCGGGGCACCAGGCGCTGTGACCTTGGGCAACGCACACGTACGTGCGAGCGTTCGAGCAAGAGGCGTGGCTTTTGAACGAAGAAAGAAGTAACTTGCCAAAACCGTACTGCAAAACAATACACTGCGTCCAATCATAATAATAAAAATAAAATAATAATAAATAATAATAATAAATAATAATAATAATAATAATACTAATAATTAATAATAATAATAAATATAATAATAATAATATCAATAATAATCTAATAAATAATAATAATAATAAAATAATGAATAATAAATAATAATAATAATAAATCATAATAATAAATATAAAATCCGATCAGAAAGCCGAGATCGCTAAAGCATTAGTGTCGTAATGGTTTCGGACCAGAAGATCGCGGGTTCGATTCCCGCCTCGACCAACGGTGTATTTGTGTATGTCTGACTGTGTCGTACTTTCAATCCTCATTATCATTATCATCATCATAATCATTTCATCTTCCATACCCCCTGGGGAATGCAAATCTGACTCAGCTAAATGCTGGTCCCCAATCAAAGTTACATGCACCGGCCACCACAATAATGATACTCAGCCACGGTAAATACAGGGTGCGTGGTCCTAATCGGCCGATCCGCGAGCAAAAAAATAGTAATAATATGCATTATATTAGTTTCACACGAAAGCATAAAATTACAAATCTGTAGTATTGTAGTATTTTTTTTTACAAAACATGTAGTTCTAGAACCGCTGGAAGGCATGTGATGAATATTTATATGTACACCGCATGCATGCAAACAATGTTAATGTTTATATGCTCCATTATTTTTAGAGAACAGATTTTCATACCTGGATATTTTACTTTCAAATTTTTATTTATTTACATCATGTGTATTTATTAAATTCTGAATAAATATTTCACAATAAAGTAAGTTTTAAAATAATTGTTTAATTAGCTTTCACACGTTTTTGTTTTACATGTGAAATGCTCCGCCGCCAAACAGCACGGGTCTTTGACCTTTTTAATCACCCTGTACCTTAAAAAATCATCCGCTTGCTGTGAGCAATACTTTTTGAAGTTTTATTGCATTAAAATATTTAAATTTTATTGTGTTTGAAATATCTTTAACACGATGTTGTGATTATGATATTTTTAAAACCTTTGTTTTTGTCATTCCCGATTTCGTAAATAAAACTAAGGATGTCGTGTTCTTTTGGCAGCTGCAAACTGATAAGTAGACGCAAAAAATACCACAAATAAATATTTCACAATAGATTATAATGACGCAGTTCACCAGCAAGTGCCAACGAGGTTTCTCCTATTTTCGGTGTACACAAAATTAAGGTCACTGATAGTAGAGTTTTATAATGGCATGACAAGTTTCGTTAGATGCCAACAAAAACTATATCATTTTTCTCATTTCTCGTATTGATGTTCGTCGGCTCTATCGAAACCTTACACTAATCGCTTGTTCTCAGTCTTTGTTGAGTAAAAAGGGCAACGATAGTATTTCTTCTTAAAATGAAGAGTAAACTTTTACTTTAAACCCTAAGTAAGCAAAAATTTATTCGCAATGCAATGTAATATCGTAACAACCTTATTAAATCAAATACAAAAAACAACACCGTCCATGTTTTCATAGAAATTAATATTACTGAAGAGGAATATTTAAGTAAATTGTAGGACTGTGAAAGAAAGTACGTGGTTTTGGAATTGGAAATTTTCCTTCGTTCTCGGTAAAAGAGTGGAGTGCTTAACAATCTATTGTCATTAGCATAATGCTTAGGTACAAATAACCAGCGCCTCTGAACACAGCTGTTCACGTCCCTCTTCCTTTCAGCTGCCTCATCCTTAAAGAAAGCCAACGGTCGGGCTTATGTGTCCCCCCCCCCCCCGGTGGCAATGCCTGGGGAGGCGCGGCGGATGGTGCCCCTACGTGGCCACTGACATGTGCACCCGCCACCACGTGCCTCGGGCGCCAAACCGCACCGCACCGCACCGCTCTGAAACGGCTGCGCGAAATCGTACTAGACCTCCACACAATTGAGGCTTTCCGAAAAAGTAGAACAGTGAAAGCTCGCTTCTTGTCGACACTCCGCGATATCGACGTGTTTCTCCACGAAAATCGTGACTCAACGACGAGGCAAATAAATTCCGGGACGGCGGATCGCGACCTGCAGAAAGATTACACGATTACA